ATTTAATAGGTTCAAGCGCAAGTTGAGAATCTTTTTGAAAACAATCTCTGCATGTTAGCTCAAATAGTAGAGTGGTACATATTACATAGTTTAAATCCTGCTAGGCAATTTATTTCTCAAATTTGTATTATATCTTTTCTGAATATAATGCATTCTCATGGTTTCTTATCACATACAAAATCATTTTTGAGTCATTAATCAATAACATTTAAATTGTTAAATAAAATTTGAATTAAATCTAAAATTAAAGAAAAATCACAATGCATATATTGACAATCAAAGTGCATTCACATTGTAGTAGAAAAATAAAATAAATAAATAAATAATATTACACTTTTAGTATTATACTCTCTTTGTCCTAAAACTTTCTTCCTAGAGAACTATTCCAACTTCACGGGAATTTATATTTGTTGGTGTTTTTTCATGGCCTATATGATAAAATAAAATATTCTTGTCACCACTTGTTTTGTTGAACTTTTGATCTAGTTTTTGAATATGTATGTTTTATTTTTTATTTCTATACCAATATTTAAATAAAATAGATTGAAAAAACTTGAGATTTTTCTTCGTTTTGCGCAATGGAAAGAAAAATATAGGACGGAGGGAGTATTTGTATATGCACGAGTAATTCACACTTCAAAATTGGTAAGAGCATGATTTGGGGGCTGTGTAACCAATTTTCGTTCAATTGGGACTCTTCAAGTAGTATTGCGCATTTTCACAGTACAATTTTGCCCTCCTTTAACTTCTTCCCCCCCCCCCCCCTATTTTGGAGCGAGTCATTAATTACCTCACATTTAGGGATGGCAATTCAACCCGAACCCGAGCTTAACCGACCCGATCGACTACTAAAATATCCGAACCCGAATCGAAAATAAAATAATCCGAATCCGACCCGAAATTTTTTACCCGAACCCGACATCAGGTCGGGTCGGGTGCGGATTTATAATTTTACCCAACCCGACCGGAACCCGCACCCGACCCGACTAAAACCCGAATATTTTATTACATAAAAGTCTATCTATGGATATAATGAGCACTCCGCATAATCTCTTGACAAAGTGCTACTATATCAAGTATGCCTTTTATATTCATTTTTATAATCCCTTAATAAAAAATGAGACATAAAAAATGCGACACAAAAAAATTAGATTTAATCTTTTCAAAATTATTGGGGTACGTCGAATTGATTATTGGTTAAAAGTCGGGTTCGGGTCGGGTTCGGGCTTCGAGTTGAAATGTCGGGTTCGGGTCGTGTCGGGTTTTTTGCTTAAAAGGTCGGGTTCGGGTCGGGTTCGGGTTTCGGTTTTAAAAGTCGGGTCGGATTCGGGTATAGTACTATCCGACCCGAACCCGACCCGTTGCCATCCCTACTCACATTATTATTTTAGTATGTCATCAATTGTAAGATTTCATCCTAGCCATCCGTAGCATCTAATCTAAAGGATTGGGTTTATTCTCATTTCTTTCACTAAAGTCTAGTCTATTCTCACCTGAACCCAACAATATATATATATATATATATATATATATATATATATAGGGGCCGGTTCTCGTGAGAATGCACCTTGTGGAGAGAAATGAGAATAAAATCTAGCCGTCGGATCTGATGCATCGTGCGGCTCAGATTGCATCCTGCGCTCAGATTTTGAGATAGTGCATTTTCGAAGGTTTATGGTGCATTTCGACGTGATGCATTTTCGCACCATTTTGGTGCATCTAATTTTGATGAAATCTTGACCCTTAGATCTCACAATCTAAAGCACCAGATTCATTCTCATTTCTCTCATAAGATTGCATTCTCACCAGAACCAAAATCTATATATATATATATATATATATATATATATATATATATATATATATATATATATATATATATATATATATATATATATATATATATATATATATATATATATATATAAAGCAAAACTTAATCATACTCCGTAATAAATTGATACGGATTATATACTACTCCATCCATCCATAGGTCTCAAACTATTTATCCAGTTTTAACATCTTGCACCAGTCAAATTGGATTACCTTTTATTGTATAATTAAATAAAAAAATGCATGAAATATTTATTCCATAAAACAATATATCTAGAAAATATTACTTTTACAAGATAAATCGAATACTTTGTAAAATTATTCTCTGTAAATAATACTTCTTCCATTTCTTAAAATCCTTCCTCTTTCTTTTTTTGTTTTCCTTAAAACATTTCCTTTTTCTATTAAAAAACAACTTTTACCCATACTTTTTCATACTCTACTTATCACATCATATTTTTTCACTAATAACTAAACAATCATATCTAACTTTTATCCATCACATCAGGGGCGAAATTGGAAAGTCAACTAAAATTACAGTTTCCTTATTTTGCTCCAAAGTCAAAACAAGATCCGTTTTAAGGAACGGAGAGAGTATAAAATTTTTCTAATTAATGATCAAGCTGGTTCATCCATTTTAATTGGAGAAACGAAACCAGACAAATACTCTAGACAATATTACTATAAAAAATGAAAGACTCTATTATAATTACGCTAAATTAATAGACATTATTATAGTTACGAGATTTCACTACATGAATATAGTCTGCTTATACAATGAAAAAATTAAAAGATGATTATATAATGTTCACCCTTCATCCCAATTTAAATCGTCTATTTCGATTTACGATTTTTGATAGAAACTATTTTCAAATCATTTCATATGAAAAACGGTGTAGAATTATTAAATAAAATTACTTATATAAAAACTACATCAAAAGATCAACAAAACGAGTACTGACAAAACTATATTATTTTAGCAAATAACTTACAATAATCGAGAGAGAAAGTTAGTGAAGAATTACCATACGATTAGTAAATATGCATTTTAACTTGGGATGGAGGAAGTTATACATTTAGAATTACAGTTTGTCATTTTTTGTTAATTAAATTTTACTTCGTAATATTTTTTGACTAAAAACTAAACATAATTTTTAATTAATAAATGTTAAACAGATTTGATACATCAAAATTATGTTTTAGAAATTATCGAATTATATTATATATACGTTACGTTATATCTAAATTTATTTCTTTTTTAGTTTGTAATCAAATAGTGTAACAACTTAACCAAAAATTTGAAAATACAGAAGGAATGTTTTGAAAATCTTATCTTGCATTAATTTTTTCATTTTTAATATTCTTATGAAAATTTAATTGTATGAATTAAATATCGAAATTTCTATGACACTGATTAGAAAAAATAAATGGTAAGTGCATTCCACATAGATTTTGATATACTGTAGTAGTGGAGCGCGCACCATATGTATATGCTAACCTACTTTTCTTCTCTCTCTTCTTTTTTTTTGAATAAGGAAAATTCTAGCCTAACTCTATACTCCCTCCGTCCCACTATATTTGTCCACTTTCATTTTTGCACACCATCCAATGCACTTCTTTAATCCATTTTATCTTGTAATTTATATATTAAAAAATTATAGAAATTATATATTAATAATCTATATGTTAAGACAAATCAAACAGGATCACACATGACTATATTTAGGCTTACACATTGAGAGAATTTGATGAGTCAAAGTGCTTAGATGAACAGTTCCAAAAGTCAAAAGTGGACAAATATAGCAGAACGGAGGTAGTATACTCGGTCCGAGTAGGATTCAAGATTTGATTCGACATGGTATTGTAAAGTGTTCATGTTGTGATGTGAAAATTCACACGATCCACATGATGAGAAAGATGGAATATAATTTGATCCCTCCTCCCCAAATAAATTAAAATTCCATAAAGAAGAATTTAATCAATTTATAAACTAAAAATACTCCATACATTTTTTAAATTTATATTCCGTATTTTAAAAAAAAGTAATACTCCTTTCATTCCAAGATTATATCTTCATATTTGTTTTTTCCTAATACATTACTTTGATCATTCATATCTCTATTCATATACTCCGTACAATAGAAAAATAATACTCCTTCCGTCTCTGAGTATTTGTTTATTTTGACTTCTTTTTGTCCAAAATGAAAAATAATTTTGTTAAATTTATTATATCAAATATTTTCAAAAAATTCTTTAATCTAACGAATACACAATATATATTTTATTTATTTATTGGTAAAATATTTAAAACGATTGATCAAAAATATCAAAACTAGACAAAAACTCATCATAACATAGTAAACAAATATTGGGCATAAATTAAGTGGAGAATCTGTTTCGGGAATGCATGGGAAAGTGACGGTTAGGAGTTGGGCCGTTTCAATTCACTGAGCTGTTATACACTATCTGATGTCTCTACCTTTCCCTTTAAATCTTTAATTTTGTGCCCCAGAGAGATAAACCAACTTATTATAAGTACACCTAATACTCCGTTATAAACGACGTATATACACTAATACACAAATACTCCATTTGTTTTACTCGTATTAAATTAGTGAGACTTTAAATGTACGAAAATTAAGAAAATTGTTGAAGAATAAAAATGTGTTTAGATAAAAATTTATTTCATGGAGAGAAAATTGTTAATTATCATGCACTCGATCTGCATTTCAATACTTCCGTATTTTATTACTATACTGAAATATAGAATCAAGTAAATGTTAAAAATTTTATGAAATACTCCGTATTCAAAAAGAAAGTTCAAAAGCTTTTATGTATGGGACACAAAAAGTAAAGCATTTAACATTCAAAATGTCAAACTTTGACCACTTTTATTTTCATCTTTGTATTACGGAGTATATTAGTGGTCTCCCATCTTTCACAAAACTAAATGGCTGCATATAAGTACGACTGTTAAAGTTTGGGCTTAAAGTTTATTTATTTATCATATCACTTAAACAAATTGTATCAACAACAAAAAAAACATCAAGAAAAGTCTTGTTTTGACACCCAACGTGACCAACTTTGGAGTCCCAACTTTTTTATGAATATACTCCAACTATATATATATGGGCACTGCAACTACTCTTTAAAATTCACAAGATCAGAATAACAGTCTCCATTAATATACATATATCATCCATACATATTAAATCTCACAATTCTGTGTTTAATTCTCTAATCCAAATGTATCCTTCCCCTCCCTTTACTTCTTATCTTCTCTTCTTCATCCCCATTTTCGTCTCCATCCCCACCAAAGGTACAGAAATTGTACAGTACTCTAATTTAAATCTGGTTGAATTGCATGCATGCATTGATTATCGTCGTCAAATAATTTTCTTTCTTTCCTTCTTTTTTAATTTATTACTTGATCTTTATTTATAAATAAATACATGCAGGTGTGATTGGGGCTACATTTGTGGTGATTAACAGATGTGATTACACCGTATGGCCCGGAATCTTGGGCAATGCGGGCAGCACCGGGCTCGGCAGTACCGGATTCCGGCTTCCGCCCGGCGGGTCACGGGCTTTTCAAGTCTCGTCGAGCTGGTCGGGTCGGATTTGGGGCCGAACCGGGTGTACATTCGACCCGGTCACCGGTCAGGGCAGCTGCGCCACCGCCGACTGCGGCTCCAACCAGATGGAGTGCAACGGCGCCGGCGCAATGCCGCCAGCGACGCTGGCGGAGTTCACCGTCGGGGGCCCCACCGGAACTCAGGACTTCTACGACGTCAGCCTCGTCGACGGGTTCAACCTACCCATGCAGGTGGAACCCGTCGGCGGGTCCGGCGCATGCGGGTCGACCGGGTGCGCGGCGGATGTGAACCGGATGTGCCCAGAGGCGCTTCGGGCAGGAGACGGGCAGGCGTGCCGGAGCGCGTGCGGGGCGTTCGGGAGCCCGGAGTACTGTTGCAGCGGCGCGTACGGGTCGCCATCGACGTGCAGGCCGTCGGAGTACTCGGAGATGTTCAAAACGGCGTGCCCGAGATCGTATAGCTACGCATACGATGACGCCACCAGCACATTTACGTGTTCAGGAGCCGATTATAGGATCACATTTTGCCCTTCCCAAACAAGGTACATTTCTTCATAATGAAGTTAGTGTCAAAAAACCATTCAGGAATTTACTCAAATATCACTGAAACATAATTACTTACTCCAAATAACATCAAATATGTTTTTTTTATCTATGTAGCACTTTAGTCATTATCCATTAGTTATTATTCAAATATTTATTTGCCACCACTAGACATTATTTCTCTTTTTAGATATTGTAAAATACTACCTCCGTTTCTCAAAAGAGTTCCTCTTTTGACTTTGGGGGAAAATAAGAAAGTGTTAAATTGTAGTTGACTTTCAAATTTTGCCATTGATGTGATGGGTAAAAATAAGATGTGATAGTTTAGTTGTTAGTGAAAAAGTATGATGTGATAGGTATGGTATGAAAAAGTAAGGATAAAAGTGGTTTTTTAATAGAAAAGGAAAGTGTTTTAAGAAAAACAAAAAAAATGAAAGAGGAAGGGTTTTAAGAAACGGAGGGAGTATTATTTAGGGAATAAAACAATTTAAGTCTTATTTGTAAAAAATTTTTTTACTTTGTTCTCTGATCTGCTTTTTTTTTGCATCAGGCTTTTTGCCTTTTTTGGTAATGTCATCTATACATGATCTTTAATCTTTAACTTTATGGGGTTCAAATGACGCGCAGACAAATGCAGAGATCCTCGTCAACTCCGGCACCCTCATTGCCGTCGTCGCAGGTCGCCAGGACATCCCCGTCGAGTAGCGGACCACCGGCGGCCACACAAACAACACGAGGGTTTATCAACTCCGTTTCGGGTCCGCCGGAAGGTATTTTCAAGAATCCGTGGATACGGGGAATCATACCGGGAGATTCGCCGGCGAAAATGTCGCACTTTGCGTTGCATTACTCCAAGTCTCCGGTGATGTCGGCGCTGGCCATGATCCTTGCTCTCTCTTTTATTCACTTGTTTGTGAATTGTAATTAATTAATTGATTAAAGCTTTTCCCATATCTCAATAATCTTCCATTTTCTTTGTTCTTTTTTTTTTTTACTCCGAACCATTGGAGACATGACGAGGTTGGACAGACGTTAGTAGTTTGTGGACGGAGAAAGCTGCGGCTTTCAATCATGCATATATGTGTACATACTCCGTACAATAAAATTCATTCTTGTTCCCAAATTAGATTACAATCAAAATGGTTTCCATTCTTTTTAAGTTTGATTTATTTATATAAAGAAATATTTGCACTAAATAGCACTAAAACTTAAGTCATTTCTCTAAATAAGACTTAGATTGTTTTCTTCTCTAAATAGCACTTAATAATGTCCATAATGACCAGTGATAGCAAACATTTACTTGAATAATGACTAATGGATAATGACTAAAAGTGCTACATTGGAAAAAAAACATATGTAGTGCTATTTAGAAAAAGTCATTATGTTTAAGTGCTATTTACATAAATTCCTCATTTATAAATTTATACGGAGCATAAAAACAAAAATACTATTTATGTATTTAAGAAGAAGAAGTCGAAGAGAAAAAAGAAGGAAGAGCGGGGTATTTTTGGAAGAAATGGAATAAAAAAGTAGAATAAGAATTATTTTTGGTCAAAAAAAGGTAGAGTGAAATGAACTTTTTCGGTTGCGAGCATGGATGACCCGGAGGATGTACAAAGTGGCCAACCACACAGGGCCCTAAAAATTTTAGGGTCCCATATTTTTAAATTTGTTAATATTTTTAAAGGAAAAGTATGCTAAAAAAATTAAATAGAGCCCAAAATATAAATATAGGACCGGGCCAATTTTATTTTTTCATTTTTCGGGGCTGGCCCTGGTCGCGAGAGCAGTTTTTACTTTTCAAGATCATATATACATATGAAAGTTTGTATGCTCTCTCTCATCAAATTGATATATCCTATATGGAACTTAATTAACAGTTTTATCATTGTTAGCTAAATAAGATTAATTTTAATGTTCTATGATTAATCTTTTAGACAATTAAAAAAAATTTAACGATTTTTATCTCGCGTTTGGTAGCATCCCAATCCCTCTCTCTTTTACATGCCCACATCCAGTAGAGCGGTGGGGTGGCCGTAAATGAGTCGACGAGCACTTCCCCTAGTCTTAGCGCTTGTTTTCCATACCTTATTTTTATTACTAACGGTTACTTATTAAAAAGTAGATCAGAATCATTCATATCAGACACATGAGTTTTGGTAGTTTCCAATGACATTCAAATTAGATCAACTAAATCAGATTAGATCAAAACTTATTTTAATTAGATCAGAATCATTCCGATCAGACACATGAGTTTTGTTAGTTTCCAATTACAACACTTCTTCATTAATTATGGGCATTTCTTACTGGTCTAACCCTTTTCATATAACTGGGCTGAGTATTATATTCATGTCCTCGATTCAAGCAATGGACCGTTCCTTTCATTAAAGATTGGACCGACCATTGGGCCTACTTATATCAACTAGCCTTTTGCCCGATTTCATTGCAACTAAATTTAATCTTTCTAGTTTCAACTATTCCTTGTCTAAAATTCCAAAAAATTAAACTAGAATAATTTTGGGACGAAAGAGTTGGCATTAGTTTTTAGTGCAATTAATCAAATTAAAAACAAAATTATGAAGTATTACAGATTGGAGTCAAATAAATATTGCCGTGTAATTTTTTCGTACCAATAATTAATTTGACAAATTTATTTTTGGGTTAAATACGTTTACAGTTCTTGTAAAATAAAAAAATTGTTTTAGATTTGACGAATGAGTCTGATATATAATGGAACATTATTCCAAGAGACTCAAAAGTTCAAAACATGATTAACCCTTTATTTTTTGTATTTTGGCTGTTGGTTTTTTGTTCATAATATCAGCTGCCTTAATTTTATTAATTCTCCAAATATTTTTAATCGGACAAATTATATTTTGTTTTATTGTATTCATGCTTGCGTGTCGTTTCACAAGATGGACGGCCTAGATTTTTCGCAATACTCAAAAGTACGAGTAATTTCTAAATTCAATGAATTATCAAAAAAAAACCCCCAAATCCGGATGGCAAATACTACCATCAACTGTTGATCTTCTTCATCTCTCTGCCGCTGATTCCTTCCGAGTCATACTGGTCCATATCCTGCCACGCCAGACAGACTCTTCTTCAATGGCCGAATCCCAAAACGGAGCTCCGACTCAATCCCGTCCCTCAACCCCATCGGACCACTGGTGCTATCACTGCGACAAACGGGTATCCATTGAAACCCTCCCGGATCTTCCCGATGTCGTCTGCCGCGAGTGCAAAAACGGTTTCGTCGAGTCCATCTCCACCGTCGAGTCCATCTCCGTCGTCAGAGCCCCTCCGGCCTCCGAATCCGATCAGATCGGCGATTTCCCTCATTTCAGCGACCAGTTCTACCAAGTCCTGCGCCTCATCGCTCAGGCCGCGCGTGAGGACGACGCCCCTCCTCCGCCCCCCGCCGAACACGCGGATCCATCCGGCGATGATTATCTCCGAGTGGAAATCGCCAGGTCGGAGAACGACGACGAGGACGAGGAGAACGAGGCGGATCAGGAAGAAGAAGACCCAGAGGACGAGAATCGGAACGAATCTGATGAAGACGAGGAAGAGGAATACCGTTTTGGGCCGCGCGACGTGATCCGTTTCAGGCTTCGCGAACTAGCTGCTAGTTCCGCTAACAGCCGCAACAGGACTCTCGATTGGGCGGAAATTCTCATAGGGATGGAAGAGAACTCAATGGAAGTGGATGGCTACTATGGGAGCCCTGGAGATTACATGGACGCAGCAGGCTACGAAGCCTTGCTGCAGAACCTGGCAGACATGGATAATGGAGGAAGACGAGGAGCCCCACCAGCTTCAAGAGCGGCAATAGAGGCTTTGCCCACAGTCACCATCAAAAGCAGCCTGCAGGAACTAGAATGTTCTATATGTAAAGATTCTGTAAACATCGCAATGGAACTGCCTTGCGGGCATAGATACCATGGGGATTGCATTGTGCCATGGTTGGGCTTGAGGAATTCGTGCCCAATTTGCAGGTTTGAGCTGCCTACGGATGATCCGGAGTACGAGGAGGAAAGGAAGAAGAAAGCTCGCAACTTTTCATCATCGAGCTCATCCACTTCTGCTGCTGCAGGAGCAGGAAGCAGTGATTGATGATGTCTTGTGTGGTAAATCTGATGCATTCCCATCCATTCATAACCATTCAAACTACCATTTCTTGGTCTTCTTTGCGTGTGGGAATCGCTGGATGGAGAGGCGTAATGTAATACTTGAGAATGTAAATACTTCATATGTTCTTTCTTTGAACCTGTGGTTTAAACTTTAAAACCCCTTTGAATGTTTGTGTAATTCTTATGTGCTGTGATTGATTCTTACTATAATAAAGCATGTTTCTGTGATTGTAATTCATCTTTCTCTCTTGCATTTCTCTTAATCTGTAGTTGCAGAATCAAGTTTGAGAAAACTTTGAAGACTGCTCTTAAGTGTATTAAAACTGTTTCATTCCAAAATACCAATCTTTATTCTCATTATCAATTTGCATAACCCTTTTTGGGACAGTATTCTCTTAATATGACATTATATGTACTCCTCACCATAGTTTTGGATCTCATGCTTGCTTGTCTTCTTCATACGAGTTGTCCAATCAAAATTGAACGGTCGAGATCCAATAAGCGCAACTTACTTTATAAACGAATATACAATTGAATGACCCAGCAACGCAGAAAAAATTGCCATACATACCAATTCACAGTTAAAAGAAGTTATCTAAGCAGTAGACTAGACTGCTTGTTATTGTTGAATGCCTACTCTGTTATTTTTACATCTCAGGTGGGAGATTGTTTGTTAGCATGTGAACAACTTCGCGCATGGGGGGCCTAGCTCGACTCTCATCCTCGACGCACATCATTGCTATGTTGAACAGATGGACCACTCCCTGCAAAGGGTAGCCTTTGAGCCGTGGGTCAACCACGGCCAGCACGGCAGCTGCTGAATCCAACGGTTGAGAGAGCTCCGAAACTGTCATCCTCACCCATCTGACTATGTCAACCCCGTCCCCAAACTCCCCCACCGGCTTGCGCCCCACTATCAGCTCTAGCAACACAACTCCAAAGCTGTACACGTCACTCTTCTGGTCCACTTTCAAAGTGTATGCATACTCTGTTTCACATTGACATGAATGACTTGTATATATTAGAACCATATTTATAGACAAAAAAAAGCTAGGGGAACCCTAGATTTGACACTATAGTGTCTCAGAATACACAGAGACAATAACTGCTTATGCGGGAATTGTCTCTATGACTCATGTGAAACACTGTAATGTCAAAGGTGGTGGCCCACCTGGTGCGATGTAACCGTAGGACCCAGCAACGGACGACATGCACTCTAAGGAGGCATCGGCGTCTTTCAAGAACTTAGCCAGACCAAAATCAGCAACGTGGGCCTCATAATCAGCGTCGAGGAGGATGTTATTGGACTTGATGTCGCGGTGAATGATGGGAGGGGAGCAATCGTGGTGCAAGTAGGAGAGCCCCTTGGCGGCCTCCACGGCGATTCTGTACCTCATCTCCCACTGCAAATGGCCACCTTTCCCCCCATGCAGCATCTCCCCTAAGCTCCCATTCGACATGAACTCGTACAGAAGCAGATTCGCGTCCTTGTTCTTGACATACCCAAGCAATCTGACAATGTTGCGATGCCTGATTCTCCCAAGCGTCTCGACCTCTGCCTTGAATCCTCGGTCGTGGTGGCTGGCCCCACGCCTGGCGATCTTCTTGATCGCGATCTCTGTCCCATTCGGCATGGAACCTCTGTAGACAATCCCGGCTCCTCCTTTCCCTATTATGTTCTCCTCCTTCAGGCAATCCTGGACATCCTTGGCCTTGAAGTCCAGCCTCTGGAATGCAGTGAGTTTGAAAGTTCTTCTGGACTTGTTTGCCCTTCCCTTTTGAGTCACCATCCACGTGGCAGCCATCAGGGACGCACCGGCGGCCAGGATGATTGCCATGGTTATGACCACCTTGGACGCGCGGTGGTGGTTCTTGCCGGATTCTTGGGATGAAGCTGAGGAGCAGTCTGAGGTATGGGGAGAACAAAGTCTTGAATTCCCAGCGAAGACATGGTCGCCGAAGAATTTTAACTGACCGTCAAGGGGCCTTCGGCCGGAGAAGTCATTATTGGAGAGATCCAATACGGTCAAGCTGGTCATCATCCCGAGTTCACTCGGAATTTCGCCTCCGAGTTGATTGTTTGACAGATTTAGAGAATTCAAGCTGCCTAGCATGGAAATTCGATTTGGGAGTTGTCCCGTTAGATTGTTTCCGCTGAAATCGATGGAATAGAGCTCTTTGCATTGGATGATAGAGGCTGGGATTTCTCCCGTGAGACGGTTTCCGCTAAAATCCAACGTTACCAGCTTCTTTAATCCCGAGATTTCGGCCGGAATTTCGCCGGAGAATCTGTTGGAATCCAGGGATAGCGTGACCAGTTTCTCTAGGTTTCCTAGAGAGGGAGGGATTTTCCCGGTGAGCCAGTTGTTGGAGAGGGAGACACTGGTGAGGTTCTTGGCCGAAAATTCCGTCGGAAGTTCACCGGAAAGGTAGTTGTCCCGGAGCTCGAGCATATCGAGAATGGGTAAGGTGAAGAGTCCGGGAGGCACTGTTCCGTTGAGGAAATTCTTCATTATACGAATCCTAGTCAAGGATTTGCAGCTTCCAAGCTCTTCTGGAATGGAACCGAAGAAGAAATTCTGCATTAAAATCAATATCTTCAAACTTCCTCCTCTACACAAGTCTCTGGGTATTGGACCGGTGAACCGGTTCGCGGTGACGTCCAGGACCATCAAGGGAGCGTTCCGGCCAAGATTCTCCGGCAACTCGAACGTGAAGTTGTTTCCCCAGACCTGCAAAACTTGGAGGTTCCGGAACTCGCCAATGAAAGGTGGAATGCCGCCGTGAAACTTGTTCTTGAACAGGTTTATCAGCGTGAGGTTCTTCAGTCGAGAAAAACCCTCCGGGATTTCTCCGGTGAGCTCGTTCACGGAAAGGTCGAGGGACATCAAATTCTCCAAGCCTGACAGCTCCGCCGGTATGTGACCGGACAGATGGTTCATCTGCAAAAACAGAGTATGAAGCTGTTTCAAATTCCCAAGAGCCGGCGGGATTTCTCCGGTGAGGTTACACCCGCCGAGATCCAAGAGCTGGAGGGTGGCAATCGAACCAAGCTCCGGAGGGATGCCGCCTTCGTATGAATTGAAGTACCCGAGGCGGAGCTCTTCCAGGTTCGGAAGCTTAGCCAGGCTCGGAGGTATCACCCCTGTGAGTGAATTTCCCTGCAAGCCTAAGCATTTCAAGCTTTGAATGTCGGAGTAAGCTTCCGGTATTTCTCCGGTGAAGAAATTGCCTCCAAGTTTTAAAGTTTCCAACTTTTTAAGCTTAACAAACTCGGCCGGGAGACTCCCGGTGAAGTCGTTGTTATAAACGTCAAAAACTCGGAGCTCCACCATGCCCAGCAAGATTTCTCCGGGGAACTCGCCGGAGAAGCTGTTGGCGGAGAGATTAATGAATCTGAGGGAAGAGAGCTTTGCTAATTCCAAGGGAAGTGTGCCGGTGAGGTTGTCGGAGACGAGAGTGAGGTTGACAAGCCTATCCAAAAGTCCGATCTCAGGCGGGAGAGTTCCGAAGAGCCGAACATTTGAGATTTTCAGCGAGACCACTCGCGAATCCCCGTCGCATTCAACGCCGGAGAAGAAGCAATGGGCGGCGGCGGCGGACCAATCCCCCAGAGCGGTGCTCCCTCGTCCGACCATGGCTGCTTTCAACTTCAAAAGCGTGTCGAGGTCCTTTTCTTGAGCATTAATGGCGGAACAGATGAAGAAAACAGAGAAAAGACGAAACTTTGCAGGGGACATGATTCTGGTTCGTTCTATGTGGAGATAGTTCGATTTAACTGGGCTTTTTCTTGAGGACAGAGTTGCGAATAGAACAGAGAACAAAAGCAACGGCGGCGAGTGTCACTGTTGGAATTTAACTGAGAACCGAAGGATCTATGAATATATCCCTCCACTGAACAAATTTTTTACTGGAGAATGCAATTTTATACTCTCAATAAAGTTGAGCGTTTTTTTTGGCACAAAGTTGAGTATTTTTTTGGCACAAAAAGTTCTGAGTTCTTTTCATGTGACTAATGTGTGGATGAAGTTAGAAAAACGAGAACAAAGAAAATTTTCATTGATTTTTTTATTCTCTCATCTAATACGGAGTATTTTCTTTCTTATTAATTTCTCATCATTAAAACAATAGTTAAAAGAGTCGTGAGATTGTAGTTCTAAAGTCTATATTTGAAATGTCGACCCTGTTAGGTATTTCCCATGGATTCATAGTTGGATCTTTTTAATTGTACAAAGTCAATTATATGAGAGTAAATTCCATAAATAGTCCTTAGTTATAGTTGATTTTCCATATTTAGCCCTAATTCTATGTTACGAAATATTACATAAGTGATTTTCAAGTATTCAGAACTATTCCATGATCACTACTTTAATTTAGGGACTATATGTCGAAAAAATATTTGTCTTTATTGGCGTAAAAGACTATTTATGAAATAATTTTTAAAAATTACAAATCATTTGTGTAATACTTTAGAATCGGAGATTAAATGCGAAAAAAGAAATCTCCCTAGTAAAAAGTACAGTATAAAATGCCAAAATAAGATTTCTAAGTCGTTTAATACTAAAATAAGAGTATAATAACAGTGCAATGTAAGAGTATGCATTGGAAGTGTGATAAAAACGTGATAACATTGTAAAATATGAGTGTGATAAGTCAACATCGGTGATCCGCGATGGCACTCTAGTGGCTGAAGACGACAGATGACAATGTGGTGGTGGTAGTTTAGTGGGTACAATGTCACAATTTGGTAAGTGTGAAAATGTAATAATGACATTGTGAAATTCTATTTTGGTTTTGAAAAACATTTGATCCTATTTTGGTATTTTCATAATTTTTTACTCCTATTTAGGGAGTTTCTCCCATATGAAAAACTATCTTTAATTAGGGACCACTTAGGAAATTTACTCATTACTCCCTCCGTCCCAGAGTATTTGTCCACTTTCATTTTTACACACCATCCAATACAATTCTTTAATCCATTTTATCTTGTAATTTGTATATTAAAAAATTATAGAAATTATATACTCCGTATTAATAATCTATATGTTAAGACAAATCAAACAAAATCACACATGACTATATTTAGGCTTACACATTGAGAGAATTTGATGAGTCAAAGTGCTTAGATGAACAGTTCCAAAAGTCAAAAGTGGACGAATATAGCGGGACGGAGGGAGTATATAAAATCAATTTAAGTCATAATGTTCATAAAATGAGAATGGGCATAAGGAGCACAAAAGAATTTGTCGCAATAAAAAAGACATTTGGTTGATTAAACTTTTAAATGAATGATTATTTTTAGGTCAAGAAATTGTTTCGTCCAAAAAATTAATCAACTTTTTTTTAGATTAAATTCATATCATATCCAATGTATTCATAATTTTCTATCAAAATTAAAAACTGCGTGTTTGTAAAGAAAGTGGAAACATCTACTCCTAGAAAATTAAGGGAGGTAGGGAATGCTAAAAAAATGTCGCACCCAATGGAATCGCAATTAATATTTGACCTACTTTTATTATAATCGTATATGCATATATGCCTATTGCATAGTCTTTGAAGTGCTCTAGAATATGATACCAAGTACATTTCTTACTTATTTCAGCAATGCATACACCTATTTCCATTCGGTGTAATAACGGACTCCATAAATCGGCCATTTCAAGAAAAGATTCTTAGTTTAACTTGATATAAAATTTAAGAAAAATATAAATATTTGAGAAGATCTTCTAAGCATGTTTTTCTATATTGATGTCATTTATATGATTTTTAAGATGGGCCTATTGCCTAATATCTAGAAAATTTAAATAAGTTTATTATCCCGCATTAGATTACTACTTAGAGTTTAGTTTCAAGTTTAATATAGAGTATCAATAAACCAATTCAACCATAAGATCAACTTTAATTTGTGGTTGTGGTCCAGAAAATCTTTTTATATATTCTAACATGCTCATGTCAAAGAATCAACTTAAGTTACTTAACCATAAGCTCAAGTTTGTAATTGTGATCCAGAATTTTTTTAAATGAAGTATATATACTCTCATATAGAGTATGGTTAGTTCTCAAACTAAAGTTCTCAATTTTCCTTTTAAAAGAGTGGAAAAATAAAATTGTTTGCACGAGAATTATGGTAAAGGAAGAGAGAATTAAGGCACATACACTAGTCATTCCATTATTTTTTTAAAAATGAGAAGCAACATAAGCAGCATTGAAGTTGTCATAAAATAGGTGTGGTGTGGATATGGTTCACGTAAAAGGTTCTGAAGTCTGAACCCAAACAATTTCCGCCACAGCATTGGCAAGAGCAAAATATTCAACTTCAGTAGAAGACAAGAAGATAGTCAATCTTTTGACGAGTAGACTTCAAGTAGATGATGTTGAATGCGAGATAGAGGACATAGCGTGTCGTAGATCGACCAACATCACTGTGACCCCATCCCAGTCCGCATGAGAGAAGGCCGAAGGTGCATCGAGATTGTCCGTGAAAGAAATAAGTCGCATTATACGAGTAGAAAAATATAAAGTCAAATATAGTACTTTCTTTTGTTCCATATTCTTCTTCTCGTCTGACTCTTCACGGCCTTCAGTTCAACAATTTGGTCATAATATTTCAATTAATATTTAAATATAGATTATAAAAATATAAACTTTCAAAATTGTGTTTCAAAAATAGTGTATTAATCTTAAACATATATCATTATTCAATATATTTTTCCGTAATTTCTTATCAAAGTTTAAAAAAACCGTTGACCATCAAAGTCAAATTGTTTTCATTTAGCCCTCATTGGTGTTAGAAATTTAAGAGGAAGAATGTTGTGAATTGAAGCAGCGTTAAAGAGTTTGATGAATGAAGAACGAGATGAACGACTTGATAGATTAATGAATCGCGTCGAGATATACCAAAATACTTTAATCGGATTAGATGATTAAATCAAAGAACAATTGCACCCCAAAATCGAGTGTTTCAACCATACTTGTGTTTCTATATTTATAGAAACAAAAATTCCTGACCAGACATGTCCCTTCGTGTGAAAGTATCGCTCGTTTCTACGAATGGTTGCTTACGGTTTAGGTAATTTTTGGACATCCATCCATACGTTCGAATTTTAAGTACATGTTTTGGATCCCGTTAGGGGCTGCTCCCTCTGATCCTAACTATGAATTTAAAATGAGGAATTTACCTAAATAACACTAAAACATAATGACTTTTCCTAAATAGCATCATATGTTTTTATTTTCTAATGTAGCACTTTTAGTCTTTCTCTATTAGTCATTATTCAAGTAAGTGTTCACCATTACTAGACATTATTTCTCCTTATAGACATTATTAAGTACTCCCTCCGTCCCATAAAGATAGGAGGGATAATTTTGTGTTGACTTTCCAAAAATACCCTTGATGTGATGGGTAAAAGCAGAATTTGATGTGTAGATTATTAGGAAAAAAGTATGATGTGATAGGTAGGGTATTAAAAAGTAATAGATAAAAGTGGTTTTTTAATAGAAATAAGAATGCCTTTAAGGGACGCAATTTTTTTGAAACGATCGAGAATGACTTTATTATGGGACGGAGGGAGTACTATTTAGAGAATAAAAAAGTTTAATTGCTATATTGAAAAATGACTTATGTTTTAGTGTTTTTTAGTACAAATATTTCATTTATAATATCATTGAACGAGGTGCACTCCGCATCCCCTATCTCGTCTGACAATGTCGATCTATTCGAATTCTTGTATAATCTAAGTATATACCTAATTACACAAAATAATTGATGATATAAAAATCACCAACAATTGATGTGTGCTTGAGAACAATGTTTGGCCTCGACTTTGAGAGAGGAAGATAAAATATGATTAAGCATACTCCCTCACTTTTTAGAAAACCATTTTTCTTGCACTTGTTGGTTTTTTCTTCAAAATACTTTTACTTTAACAAAAATGACTAATAAATTCAAATAAAGTCGTTGCAATATTTTTTTTCTCTCTCGACACAATGGATACAAAAATAGGAACTATTTTTTGTGTGTATGAGTGACATATCGATCGATGAACTCCTAATTTGTCAAATTTAGATTATTGATCTAGGAATTAAATTTGTGTATTCGATATTATTCCCTAATTGCGTATGGACTACTATGGTGCAGTTGACCAGCCCCAATAACGTGAGCTGGCCGGCCTCCGTGCATGCATGCATGCTTCGCCATTAATGTGAAGCGGAGGGTGGTACGTACACATGTCTCTATCTGGGCCAAAAATGAATGTTAGTCAAACGGGCCTTTGACAGAGTTGGGCCCATTCAGCGCCGGGGTGCGCCCACTCCTGTCTGACTCGCCCGAGTTTTGGCAGCTTCTGATAAAAAAAAGTCCACTCTTTTTGTTCTTTATCACAAATTCACAACATACTCCCTCCATCTTTAAAAAAGTTTCCGTTATTAACTTTTAGGAAAATTAAGGGTGGGATATTTTAGTGTTAACTTTCCAAAAATACACTTGATGTGATGAGTAAAAGTAAGATGTGATGGATAGATTATTAGTAAAAAAGTATGAAAGAATTGTTTGGAGGAAATTTTCTGTATTTCTCTCTTGTGTTTACAATTTACAATGAGAATCTATATATATGATCTCACAAAATGAGACTCCTAATAAGTAAAGGAAAAAAGAAAAGGAAAGAATCCCTATACAAGGAAAACTACCAAAACAATATATACAAAATATCTCTAAATATTCTACCAAATATTCTCTTTCCTTTAACAAAGTATGATGTGATATTGTTAGGATATGAAAAAATAAGGGATAAAAGTGATTTTTTAATAGATAAAGGAAGGAATTAGTGGTATATAATTATATATATCCAGTAGCAGATGAGAGAGTACTTATTAGCTTCTTCATCCCCATTATGAATAATGTGCTTCTAAATGCCAATCACAAATATTGCGTCCTCCCCTTTTTGGGCATTACAGTTTTAGCAACGTTTTTACGTGCCCAAATTAAATGCAAGAAAATACTTGAGAGACCCTAAATAATATACTACGTACATCAAAATGTTTGTGCTATGGAAGCATAGACACTGAGTAAATGTGTGTATCTCTGGTTGTCTTAGTGTGTACGTACGTACTTAGTGTTGGGAAATTTCCCTCCTACATG